CCTAGAACTAATATAATTTGTACAAAGAATATCAACACCATCAAGTAGTAGAGAGCAATTTGCACAAGAGACAAAAACAAAGTAACACTATGAACAATGGAGATTAAATTGAGCATAATATTAAAGTTTCCAACAAACTTATGGTTCTATATTTCTATTAAGCTTGTGTATTCTATATATGTAGACACTCTAATTCCAAACATGTAGCTATATTGCATATAAGTACTTGCACACATCTTAATTTTATATAATGATATATATATATTAGGAATAAGTATTATATAAAATTATATCAAGTATTATTGTAGTTTTACAATTTAGATGAGAGTAACCAATCTTTAAAAACTACTTTAAGAAGATAAAATTTTACAAATTTTCTTTGTATTAATCAATTGTATTAAAATCATTATTTTATTGCTTGTATTAAAATTAATAAATTTAATTTTAAAAATTAAATTATTTATAAGATTCTTATTTTAAATTTAATTCTTGAATAAAAATATATTAAAATAATTTTTATTTTACAAAAAAAAAAGTATAAATTTTAAAAGGTGATTCAAAATTTTAAGCATATTAGAGGTTTTAAAATGCATAAGCTTTTTATACAGTATTTTTTATTTATAAACTTATATTGTTTTAATTTTATTTATTCAAAGATAAAAAAGATCAAAAAAAATATTAAATAATTTAATATTTTTAATCATTTTATAAATATGTATGTTTTAATCACCACCAAATTATATATATATATATACATATATAAGATATTATTCAATTTATTAAAAAATTTGTAACTTTTAAGAAAAATTGAGAAACAAAAATATTTTCAAAAACTTAATAAAATTAAAAATTCAAGTAAGTTTTTTTTTAATTAAATGTATGTTATGCATTGAATTTATATGAATATATAAATAAAGAATAATATCAAAAAAATTCAACTAAAAAAAAAAAATTAAAAAACCATTTCTATAACTATTAAACTTTTATAAGAGATATGAATTATATTTATATTCTAATTTTATATTTATATCGTAATAGAAAAAAATAATAGTAGATAGAAAATAAAAACTTAAAATTCATAAAAAATACTTCAAAAAACCTAATATAGTTTATATATATATTTAACTTTTTAAATTTTAAAAATTTATATACATATAATATTTAATTTTAAAAACTTCAAAATTAATTATAATAAATTTAATTACAAAAAAAGTTATAAAAACTAACTTAAGATATAATCACTTCAATCAAAGAATGTATGTTTATAAATAAAAAGATGCATAATAAGGTTTGAAGGTCAATAAAATAATATAAAAATTAAAAGTTGTAAGATTTTTTTTTATTATTAAAGTGACTAGTAGTAAATATAAAAGTAATATATTATATTAGATACACACTATATTTTCTATAAAATAATTAAAATTAAACGCATGAGATATATATGTATAATATTTGGCTATAAAAACTTCTCGAAATCCATTAAAAATATATATCACATTTAAAACACTCAATATGTAAACCTTGTTATCATTAAGAAATTTTTATATAGTCTTATTGTTGATTATTGTATGTCAAAGACATGCATATTTACCTAAATCAGAAGAGTTAGATAGAAGTAGAAGTAGAAGTAAATTTGATAATATCTTATGGAGAAGCTTCATAGATACGGATTTTACTTTATACATATTTGTAGATGATTGGTAGGTTAAAAACCAGGCCAACAAGTTGGCCACTTGTCACATATTGGTGACATGTAGTACAAATTGGTCACATGATAAACAAAATGACTTATAGGAAACTTCTTTGAATTTTTCAATGTCTTTTTTTACTTAAATCTTAGTTATAGGCCTATTAATTTTATATATCTAATGATAACTAGTTTAACATCTTCTTTTATTATAATTTTTTTATAATTTTTTATTTATCTATAATTATAGAAAATATTATATAGTTATGTAATTTTAATTAGATCTATATAATTAAGAGTTTTTAAAACATTAATATTTATAATATTAAATTTTAGTTTATTTTTTATTTTTTATACAAAGTGTTTTTTTCTTTATTATTTTAAAATAACAAAGTATTTTAGAAATTTTGAATCATTCTATTTTTTTCAAAAAATCCTTATTATGTTATGTTATTTTTTTTTATTTTCTGTTCTTTAATATCAGATTTTTACTATAGTTTTTTAATAGTTTAAATATCTTTTTCTTATAAAAAATAAATTAGAAATAAAATATATTGAATTTTAAGTATATAAAAATAAAAATATTTGATACTTATAATATATTAATTTTTTTCAATAATTAAATAAGTAAAATATGTTTAAATTTTAAAAAAAATTAAATTTTCCTTCATTTTTTAAGTAATTGGTGATTTAAAAATTTATACAAGAGATATCACTAATTAAAATTATGTTTTTGGACAGCAATGAAATTTCTTAAAAAATTAATGAAACTAATCAAAAAAATAATATCATAATTATGTTTAGAAATTAACTTGAAAATTGTACATGAAAGTTTCAAGTAACTTATTGACATGTTAAACATCTGTGATTGATTAATAGTATTTAAACTTCTTTTGTGATGGTAATAAATTTATTAAATTTAATGTTAATTTATAATATGAAATATTAAAATTCATAATTGAAAATACTTTAATATTTGGTAAAGTTTAAAAAATAATAGTTTATGTGAATAAATAAACATTAAAGCAGAGATTTTTTATTTTTAAATTTTAAATTATAAAATTTATTTTATCAAGTAAGTAATTTATTATATCTTTGAATAAAAATTCATGTACTTATATCATTCTTTTTTTAAAAAAAAACCTTACATTTTGTAATTTAATGTTTGATAAAGATACTATTTGATAATTAAGATTCTCAAATGATCACTATTGTAGTCACACAATCATTATAGTCCACCAAACTATTCCATATCATAACAAAATGAATATTCCTGTCTGGAACAAACTTCATTTAATGGGCAATTGGTTAAAACATCAATGTTATGATAAACTGAGGGTTTTCAAGTGAAACACTCTTCAATAGGCATATTGGTAGTACATTGATAGTAGATGATCTGTGGTATTGGGCTGTTGGGTTGTGTTGACTAAAAACTTAATGTGGAGGCTCAATAAAAAAGTGTTTTGGATGTCTTCATCCTTTCTAATTTGGTAAAGATTACATACACATATATAAACATACATCTGTACATTATTTTACTTTATTTCTGATGTATTGTTCACAATTGATAAACTTGGAGCTCAAGAAGGGCTTACAAGATTCACATTAAAGTCATGCTTCCTGAAAGTTGCAGTCTTCCACAAGGGTGCTTGGATGCTGGGAGTGTTACCACACCTTTCACTCTGCTCATCCAATGCTGCAGTCAACTATTGGTGTGAGACTTAAATGAGCATTTTTCAGGCATGGCAACCTCTTGCCTAGTCATCACCTGAATACTCTGTATGGGAGAATACCACATTCAAGTGTGAAAGTCTCACAGATCCTTGGATATGCTGCTGCAAGAAAGAAAAATAAGGCTTCAGCATTCAATGCATGTGGGAGGTTGTCCCCATGTCCAAACTCCTGTGGGCTGGTGGGTCAAACCTCCCAAGCCCATCTGCTACTGGAATTCTGCAGGAGGCTAATTAGACGATGAATCTCAAACTGTAACAGTCCAGCTCAATTCTACCCTTTCCACATTAGAATGGTGGTTCACTAGAGGTCACTCTGAGCAAGGTATGCCTCAGTTAACATAGATCAAAAGGACCTGCAAAATACTTTTCCAACTTCCAGCACGCTCTGCAAGCACGTGGGCTCTCTTCGAAAAAGTAACTTAATAAACAGGAACAAAAGTTGTGATATCTCAGTAGGGATAATGATCTCTAATTTCATCCTGAAGCGCAAGAAAAGCAGAACTTATCCTGACCTTTTTTATTTGGGACTGAAATGTACAGTAGAATAATGAGAATTTGTGGTGACTAGACATCTTGTATAGTAGATGCTCTAGAGATTCTGCTGCTTTTCAAATTCAGCCTTCAGAACTCGACATTTGCGTGAGACAGATTAACAGATAGAGTATACGTACCACAATTGGATAGTACAAGTAAAAAAACAACTTCATTACTTCTGAATATCTCAACATCCCTCGCTTGAAGAGCTAAGACGAAGAAACCTATTGCTACAGAATGATATTTCCTAGCTTGATTGCATCTCTTGACTGCCTGACTAGCGTGCGGAAAGCTCTAAACTAACGCATATGAAAGAATACCAAACGCTGGAAGAATGTTGGGTAACCAGGTATTGAGAGCATCGAGTGATCAGATTGCATCCAAGCGTCCGCCATATCCATGCGGTGGTAAGATACACAAATGTGGCATGAGCCACACCGTTTCGAAGAGGATACGCCAAACAGATACAAGTAATTCAGTAATTAACTCCGATTTTGTGTTTAGCTGTTGTAAGTGCCTAAATGATAAGTTGCACTTACGCAAGAATATCTTCGCCCCGGAAATAATCAACTATTTTCCAAGTGAGAAGATCCAACTGAGTAGCATCTGACATGCACATAGATCCATTCTTACACAACTAAGAAGTAATTGATCAACAAATGGAGACAGCGTTTTTCAGAGCAAGGGTCGGAAGAAAGAGAAAACACCTAACGATATCTCGGAATGAAAAGTATCACATAAAATTCATGCTCTAGTCATACAGGCCGTGTGATTCTGCCCACTTTGTGGCACAAGTGAAGCTCGGAACGGAAAGCATCCAAACGTATGAGAAAAAAATTGAGGTCTGTGAACCTGTAAACCCTCGGTCATGTAGTGCGTAATAATCGTTCGCCCATGCATAGTCTGATTAAGATCACATAGGTTTCAAGCGCACTAAGCTGCAGACACTTGGCAACCTGACCGGACATCCAAGATAACATACGATCTCACGCAAACGTGCATAAACCACAGATACAAACCCTGTAAAAATAATGGCTGCAAAGATGTGCACAGAAGAGTCAACAAATTTTCTATTATCCAACTTCATAATTGATCACGCAAAAGAGCACACAAGGTGCCTGCTCTTCTTACAAAACTCGTTCTCATTGCGACGACATCGACTATTGCTCTCTATTTAGATAATGTTCTAAAATACTGATCTCTAAAAAATATTTCTACAAGAGGATGATGAAAACCTGAGCAGTTAGTTTCGGAAAGAAACGGACAAAGAGGTAAAAAGGGGCTCAGGAATGCTATACAGCAGTTACTAATTTTTATACCGACATTTTTTAAGATCGGAAAAGGAATACAATCTCTAGTTAATTACAATACGTGGGCGAGGATATCATACATTGGTATTGATTACTACCGAAGATTGACAGATTCATGCATATATCTTAGAAGCCAATTGGCCAGTCTTCATCATCCTAAACAGTGCGACTCGCCCTCCAGGCGCTGGAGAGTAGCTGCCCCCCGTCCCTGTGGACATGTGCTCTCTGCATTGTGCACCACTGCATCGTAAGACGCTCCGAACAAATCGTAGCCAATCACAATGCAACAAAATATGCTTCAATCCATGAATTACGCCATCTTCTTTCTAAAATTTATGAAGATGATCAGAGAAATATCTTCTACGGAGCAGTGTACGGGACAGTAGAGTCTTACGACACAGGGACGGATGGCTTGATCACTTCGTCCTCCTCATCCGAGCTGCTCACCATATGTCTCAACCTGCTGCCACCTTTCACTGAGCTCCTTGCATTTGAAGTGCGCAGAGGAGAGGGATACGAATTCACGGGCTTCGTGTTCGGTTTCTGTTCTCTCGTGCTCAAAAAGTTCTCAATCAAGGAAGCCGTCGAGATTTCCAAGTCCTCGCCGGATGTAGGTCTGATGGAGATGGAACGCTGGCTTCTGGAATTCGAACGGTGCAGACGACACCGAAACGACCCGGCGTGGGTGGTAGGCGCACATAGGCAAGGCATCTTCACTACTGTACTTAAAGTAAGACGGAAAGGTAGTCGTTCCAGAACTTCACAACCAAAAACCAACGCAATTCTCCAATATTCAAGATCAAACACTACCCACGCTAGCCACGAGAAGATCAAAACCACAGGTGCACGATCGACGCGCAAACGTGTCAAAATCCGTCATCAAATGTTTCAACAAGCTCAACACTCTCGACACAGATTGCTGTCCCCAAAACCAGGCTGCCTCTGCACTGTACACCTCTAAGATGAAGAAGCTCCTTGAAATCCCAGTCGATCTAGTCCGAGAAAATCCACGACAAAACATCCAATTAAAATTAAAATTAAGGAGATAAAAACACGCTCTGCGCAACAAGGTGAGCAGCGCTGCAAACGAGCTGCGAAAATCCTCAACGGGATGCACAACAGCAGTGCAGACGATGGGAGGTGGGAGAGACCGATGTAGAAGTTTTTGTAGAACTCAGGCCTTGTGCTGTAGCGGCGAGAGCTTGGAGAAATCCTCGGGACGAGTTGCAAAGCCCATGCCCATGCCCATATGGCCCCACCCGGCCCGGCCCGTTCCGCCCGGAGGCCACCTCCCTGCCTCCTGGCGACGACTTTCTATCTGTTATGTGGACAAGAGTGTCCAAAGCAAACACTTCATCATGAGCTACTGTGGCCTCTTCTACTGCTCCTCCAACACTTGTTCCTCATCTCCCAGTTTGCCAGATTTCTTGTACTATTTTGTTTCCCTCTAGGTTGGGGAATTTGTACTCTTTTCGTGTTCACGTCCCCAGAATAAAAGGGAAGGGCAGGAAATATATTCCCTTTGCTTAGCTTCCCCGTTGTTTCACTCTACAGACACACTGCCTTGCTTCCCTTCCCCCTCAAGCTTTGCTGGCCTTAGAGCCTGAGTCCTGTTCTGCTACCATTTTAACAGAATTGTAATTGGGTGGAAGTGATTTTTATAAGAACTTGCTGAACCCACCTTCAAAACAACATAATCATAATGATAATAAGAATAATGAATCTGCTGTTGTTTGATACAGTGAGTGGAAGTACAATCTGGAATTGGATGACAAATTTTCCCATCTTCAGTTTGAATAATATCATTGGTAGCTTTAACCCATCTGAGGATAATCAAAATTTTCCACAAATTTATTCAATTAAGAAATTAATATGTGTAATTTATTTTTACCCTTTCGAAAAAAAAATGCAAATCTCTCAAGCATGCAGATACAGACTTTGTGTATTGATTGATTGATTAATTAATTTATTTATTTATTCATTTATGGTTTGGGACATGGCATGAGTAAGAGTGAATAATACTATCAATATCAATGTATTTGGTGTGTCTGCAATCATCAACATTGTAAAGTAATTGAACGTTGACTTGGTATTCCAAATTTGTGATTATTGATTTTGATTGATTATGATGACTACCATCTCTTCTTTGACACTTCTATGTTGCAGTGGCATGTCATGTCGTGTCCACAGCTGATCCCAATGTCCCTCCACAAGGATATATGCTATCCTTTGCCTGTCAAAATTTTGCTCTCCAGCAATACATTCACCTCTTTAATCTCAATTTGACAATTGTTATTTTGAAAGCATTGTGTTTGCATTTGTGTGATTTGTACTTCAGCCAAGTCTTAACAAATACTGTGCAACTCCTGAAGCTAATGAATTTGTGAAGCAAACAAATTTTGATTGTTCTATCACCCTCACCTTCTTATTATTTCATGTAATAAACATGCCTACATTGTAACATTTATTAATTTCTTCCCATTCCATTTTTAAATCACTACTATTTATTATTATTATTATTATTACCATACATAGAGTAGAATGTGAATCATAAATGAATTATGTTGCTAATTGCATTGTATTCCTCTTCATATTTGCAAGGTTAATGAGTCTCAAGCATTTGTAGCCAGGTCTACATATAAAGACAGTACCACTCAAAGTTGGTCTTCAACCCCAAAAATTGAAACACATGAATAATACAGACAACAACAACAAACAACCTTGACACATGGCAACTGCCCCGTCAGCTTATCATGTACCCTTGCCAACTCAGCCATGCTGTGCCATGTCATGCCCCCCCCCCAGTCAATACCCACCATCTGGAAAATTCAAGCCATGGCCTATGCCAGAAGGGATTTTCATCGATCCCCTCCATCCATACTTTTATCTATCCATACACCATGCAAGCCTGCAGGGACAGCCTGACTGACTTGTCTGTGGACATACATGGCCACAAGGCAAGGGCTACCATCCCCATCAAGCCACATGCACCTTATCAGAAAATACCCTGTAGGGGTGGGGGGAGGGGAGGGGTGATTGGTGGGCATTCCTTTAGGAAAACTCTTCCTTCCACTCACACAAACAAATATCCCATGGGCTTGCTTGCATTGCTTGTGGAGGAGCCACAAAGGGGAGATGAGAGTCAAAAGGGAACAATCAACAGCCAGGCATTCATCCCTGGGGAGCAGTAACCCACAAGCCAACTCCTCATTTGAGCAGGGGCACTTGATTGGGAACCAAAGCAAAACACACATAAAGACGGAAAAGGAAACAACAAAAGGAAAAGGGAGGGAGGAAAGTTATGGCTCGCCTGATACTGCCCCTTTAGAAGGAAGGCAATTGGGTGGGGAGGGAGAGATATCAATAGGGGCCACAGGGCCGAATCAAGTCCGGGCATAAGACTGGCTCCACAGAGGCCTGGGAACTTCATATCTGGATCCGGGGGAATCCAAATCTAGTCCAAGGGTTTCTGTTCCCTAACCTTTTTGGGGCGAACCTCATGGGAACGGTTCTTTTTGACAGTGATTGGCACCAGGGGGACGGGCATTGGGAGCTTTTGATGGGCGATGTTCCACTGCCGAAAGTGGGCAGATAATTCTATTCTGTGGAGGAATCTGTTGGGTTACTGCAGACAAGGTGGGGACTTGTTCAACAAGAATGAAAGGGGTATTTGGGTTTTACATTTTCTTTATGAATACATGTTAGTAATGGATTTTGAATTATAATATTTTGTATAATTTACAGCCTGGATGGAGAAAGCAGAAGAGAGTACCATTGATTAGGTGTTGTTTTGCCCGTTCCCAGTCATTTTTTAATAAAAATATTTTTACTATTATTCTAACAACTTCCATCAAGTCCTCGGTGTAATCATAGTGTAAGTGATTTTCCTAAAACAGGCAAATTCTACCCGGTTATTAAATTGTTCTGATTATCTCAGTTACGCATTGGATATTATCCAATTCTATTGTTTTCAATGATAATCCAAGCATTTCATATGGGCTCGAGTTACTACCATAGGAATTGCCACCAAATTTCCGATAACCTCATGTAAGTGCCATTTATCCCTAATTAAACTATGCAATACATTAAATACAAAAATTCAATATAAATATTTAATACAAAATTAATGCTTGTAAATTATATTTTATAAAGTTTGCAATCAGTTTCTAGAGATTAATGAGAGTTGTAAATTGCAACTATTTGTATATACAAATGGAGAGAAAGAGAGTATTACTAATACCACCACAAATTTTCTTATTGCTAGCCAAATCTATTTCCCACTCAATATATTTCTTTAGTTTTTTATTCTAATAAAAAAATTGTCTTAATATTTTGATTATATCCATTCAAATTATTTAGGATCCAAATACTAAATAGATAAAAATAAATAAATTACTAATTAACTTATACATATTTTATTTAGAAATAAAAAAGATGTGAATGGCATGTAGTAAATGGCAAGTTGTGGCAATAGCAAATAGTATATAAAGGCTATTGCCATTGCAACTACAATTTTATCTATTGTTTCTACAACTCCATGAAAATTAAAGTCAAATTTGATACTTTAAAAATATCATACATCAAAAAATATCATATATATTAGTAATATCATATTATGTATATATATATATATATATATATATAACATGAAAAATATTATATATATATATAATATTTTTCGTATTATATTTATTATTTAATTAATTATTTTTTCTTGTTGAATTTATATGGTAACTTAATTATAAAAAATTTATAATATTATTAAATTTTTGTTATAAGTAGAATCAATTTTTTCTAGTTAGCTTAAAGATAGAAAAGATTTAGAAATGGTCAATAGTTTTGTTACAAAATTTTAGCTAAAATTTAGATTCAAACACCAACCTACCTTCATGTATAAAGTTTATTAAATATGTTAAAGAGAAAGAAAATATTCTTTGGTTAATACTGCTAAAATATTACAAGTAAAGGAACAAGTAATTTACATATAATTTAAAATAGATATCTGGCTTATAATTTCAATTATTTAAGAATAAGATTTACTTTAAATACAAATTAACAATAAAAAATTCTAACAATCTAATTGTTTGTTTTTTCTATAAAAATGCCGTTTATTTAAAAATAAATCTTTCATAGTTTTTTATGTGCATTCAAAGATTATACAAGACATAAAGTCATGAAAATAGATTTTCTTTTTCATAGAATATATACATTACAAACTGGTAATAAAACCAATTAGACTAAAATGGATAGTATTTCATGTTTTGTGTAATATCTTGTAAATGCTTGTTACTTTATATCTATATTTAGAATGTGTTTTTTTAAATACAAATATATTAAATAATTTTATTAATTATTTTTAATTAAGAAAATTACTTAAAATTGTAAACTTGTTGATGTTCATTATGTATAAATATAAAAGCTAAATACTGACTTTTAAAATTTACTTTAATGCCTTCAAAATTAAAACAGGGGGGAGGGTGTATTCAATTTATTAAAGAGAAATCCAATTTCTTTCTTCCCATTATTTAAAACCACGTACAATGATGTATTTTATGTGTCTGAGCTCCATAATGAAATGAATTAAGCAGTAATCAGTACCACAGTCAAGGGACGGAGCACGTCGACGAGCATTGCCCAGGACCGACGATATGACGACGGGGATTCAACGGAGCGTCGACGGAGGCGAGGCCTGGAACAGCATTTTGCTTTTTTCTGGTTGTGTGCTCGGTTTCGGTTTCAGTTCGTAGTCTGTATTCTTTTCAAGCTTGTATGAAGCATAACGGTTTCTAGCGGGGTCGATTCGTCGTGATAGGCTTGAAGACAACAAAGATCGCTCACATTGATCTAGTGTTTCAGCCTCCACCGATTTGTAGAGGTGGATTGGAGCAGCCGAAGTTTTGGAGTTGTGTGGAGGTATGGAAGGCAGAGGACCAGATGGAGGGGACGATATTGATCCTGCAATGCGTTGGCTGTCGGAAATGTCTTTGCAGCCGTGAGTTTGCTCTGTTCTTCTAGTGACTTCCAAAATCTCCTCTGATTTTTATTCCATTTGTGCTGGAAGGGTTGATTTCTTTACAAGATTGATGGAATTATGAGCAAGTTGAGATACAGTCCAGGTTTTAGGGTTGTCGCTGAGTTGACATCTTGATAGCAGCACTGCTGTATGAGCTGAATTTAGTTGGATGGTAGGATTGGTCTGAACTGAGACATGTTTCGTGTGCGAGTGATTCGTCCATTGCGCTGTGGAGTGACATGGAGGTCATATTTTGCACATGCAATAATGTTAATCCCTGGGTATCTATTGGCGATGTAAAGCAGTCGAGCTTGAGATCTAAAGGACAGGAATTTTTTTACTTTTTCTTGTGGAATTCTAGTTTGAATTAGCTGGGCTAATCCAGCAAATTTGTTAATAGCTAAAGACGTAGTGATGAATTCAGCTTTAGCCTCATGATTAGGAGATTCGTCCAACATCATGTTATCGTGGGTTTAGTGTGTTGGATATGTACCGAATCCAATGGATAAGAGTGCGATCTCTGTTTTTCCTGATCGGAGAAGGCTTAGAATCACGACATTCTTTGACTTAGCACTGTCTGGTACATTTCGTGACGAGCTGATGGTTCATGTAGGACTTGTTTTCTTTCTGACCGCCGAGATTTGTGTTTTCTTGGGGATCTTGTCCAAGTTTCACGAACTGAACTCGACCCTGCTGATAATTTCGTACACAATGAACTGCTGACTTCACGGATAGTGTGTACTCATTAGCATCTAGACATGTTAAACTGGTGGTGTGAGTACATTTTCGGTCATTGAGCATTTTACTGAAATAATTGGGAGACTTTATGAAATTTCAAGTTTCATCACTTGGTGTGTGTGGCCAGGCGAGTCACACCGGCACCTCGATTTTCGTGTTAGGGTTACCTGTGTGCGATCTCCTATGGTGTTGGATTCTTGTTATTGTTTGACAACACTGTATTAGTGAGCCTCTGTTCTTTGATACAAATGGAGAGTAATTGTGTTTGTCTATCCGTTGTACCTTAAGTTGGTCCTACTTCGAATTGTGATGTACATTGTCTCGTTAAGGTAAAAATAGTTGTCATCTTAGGGCAACTTTCACGTTTGACGATGACTTTCGTTGTGGATTTTCGCCCGTGGACATCGTGAACATGTATAGAATTGTTTCAAGAGACTGTTCATGGTGTTGGCCGCTTGTATGTAATCTTATTTGTTTCTATGCAGTGTTAATTTTAGTGAATTTTAGCGCCATAAGCATGCTTGCGAGGACTAGTGACAAAAGAACATACAAATATTTTCGTTCTACGAGTATGTATGTTTGCAGTACGGGGATCGGGTCTTCAAAATGTGCAGCATGAGTCATTACTTTCAGTGCTTTGCGTTGAGTTGGTATGATGAGCTAGTGTCTAGTGAATCATACGAACCGAATAGTGAACCCTTACTCATTTGAGCAGGCGATGAAGTTGGTTTAACATTCACAGGGATAGAATCTATGGCGGTTTGCATGTTAGATAGATGTTTTTTTTTTTTTTTTTTTTTTTTTTTTTTTATTGATTTCAGGAGTTCTACTTGGGTGTTCATTTTAGGGACTGGTTGGAAGAATGTGGCTTTGGCGAGCAGACACCGGGTTTGTGCTATATAATGGAGGATGAAGAAGGCGATGTCTTGGGAGCTGCAACGAGGCCTGGATTGTCCCTCTTTGGTTCCGAAGCTGTGGAAAATGTAAGTCACGTATTAGGTTACTTCAGCATCTTTGAGTTCTTTAATTTTTTTCAATTTCGTAAACGGTGCTACATGCCTGTAATACTTTCACCACATACTGATTGTCTGTTATTTGCAGCCTTCAAGTGGTTCCAAAAATGGCGCTGGAATGAAAAGTACATGGTCAGTTTCTCGTAACTTGTATTTAATTTTAAATTTGGGTTTTGAGGTGTATGACCCGTATTTTGGTTGGTTTTCTTTTTCTTAGCTTGGCGTTGCACTAAGGTCACCCAAGCGAAGGCAAAGTCATCTTCTCATAATTCTCGAACATAGGGAAGTCTGAATTCAATTATGGCCGTTGACACCTTACCAGACGTTGCTCACCCTTTTGGTGGTACTGGATGAACAGCGCGGATGTTGTCTTTTTTGTCGGTGGATCTGTATGGACGTTGGACTGGTGTCCTCGTAGACCCGGATGGTCGTCTCAGGTCATTCAGAATGAGGTGCTGATTTTTGAGGCGTACTGTATTCAGCACCTACATCTTGTTTCTTCGCCTCGTTCTGATGCGATATTTGTCATCACATTTAACTTTTATGTCCAGTTGTCAGGAACGTCGTAAGCTGAAAATACGTGTGGTCCATTCTCAGTTTCTTGTGGTAGGAGCACACCCAAGACAATCGCCACATCATAGGCTCGGCGAATCATTGCATGGGAAAGGTTTGTTGCAAATATGGGCAATTGATCTCAGGCCAGGGAAGTCGACTTTGGTCGACGAGAACAATGGGGGTGATGCCATGTCAAATACTCCTTTGGATGAGGGTTCAAGAGGTGGAAGGCTTAAAGGTCGAGGGGGAAAGTGGGGCAGAGGCAAAGAAAGGAGAGCTACATATGATGGCTTCTCAGATGAAGAGCCAAATATAAGTGCTTCTCCAGTGGATACTTACACGACCTTGACTGGTTTCAATTTGACTAAGGGTGGGAGAGAGAAAGCACGAGGGAAGGGAAGAGGGAAAGGGAGAGGTCGTGGAAAGACCACCTTAAAGTCCTCTGAACTCGAGGCTGAAACTTCTGATGCGGAAGACGTTGGTCCTGCTGATAACATTAAACCAGGGTCTCCACCTGAAACATTGCTTGTCTATGTAAAGGGCAGAGCAAAATCTAAGCGGGATGCAGCCTCTCGTTCATCTCATAAGAATTCTCTCTCAAAGTCTCCTGAAGTGCTGCCAAAGATGATCTTAGGTATTGTACATGAAGGTGAAGTTACATGGGATGCAAAATGGCGACCTGTGGCAGAGGTGGATAGCACTTGCGAGTCTACGGAAGATTTGGATGGTCGAGCGAGCATAAGACTCGGTTTTCTGGCTGCTATTTTGGGAGATGGATCAGTTCAAGTGTGAGTACTTCATTCATTTCCTCAGCGTCATAAACATTTCTGCAAATGTAACGCTTAAACTGCACCAATGTGTATTTTCTGTCTCTCATCATTGTGACAAGACTTAGTAATTTCAGATGTATTAAACACGCTTAAGTTGTTTTCCCCTTCTTTGTGATCCTTTTCTAACGAATATGGTAAGTTCCCTCTTATAGGTGTCATTAAAGACGCATGGCTTCTCAGATATATAGTTAAGAACGGAAGAAATCAAAATGATGGTATTTACTTCTCTATTTTATGATTGTACTTTTTGGTTTTAGCTGTGTGGTGAGTGAAGTTGTATTTGGTCGGTTTTTTTGACGTCAATCACATGAGAGTATTGAGATCAAATCTGGTTTTTGCAAATAGATTTGATGTTCCATTACCAAGTATCTGGGAGTTATCTGGAATTTACCAGTTGGAGAAAAAGGAAGATGAACCCCCGATCATAAAAATAAATCCAATCTTCCACAGCTCAGAACTTCAAAGCAACGGACATAAGAGGTGCGATGCTCGTTGCTTATTATCTCCCTAACTGTTGGCAGATGGATGCCAACAAAAAAATTGTGACTAGTACTTACATTTTCTTTAATCCCCTTTGTATCGTATTTTATTGCTAGTATTTTATTTCTTTAACTAGGTTTTTCGTTTTCATTTTCTTCTCAAAGTTAGCATGGTCTGGCTGCATAGATGATAAATTTTCCTAGAGTTGTTTATCCACATGATGTGACAAGCAATCGACGACATGTGATTGGGTTGTCGTATTTTAGAAGTTGTATGATAAGATCTTGACAATCGCAATGTCTTTTTAGCAGCATCCCACTTGCTGTGGAATGGTCTACGTGGGCCCCACATGATATGCTGCTTGTCGGCTGCCACGATGGAACTGTGAGTTGCATTTATTCATGATTTTTACTTACTCTGCCCTTACTTATGATAACCATTCTGATTTAGTGGTGACGCATTCCATGCGGATTGTGTTGTGCTATTCAGCTGGTAATTTTATACCTTGTTGCAGGTGGCTGTCTTCAGAGTTTTCCCATATCCTACACCTCTTGAAGGTAAAGTCTTGAAGTAAACAAGTAGCTGTGCTTTTCGAGTGTATTCAGCTCCTGAAATTCGTCCTTTTAAATATGTTTTTCTTTATCTCTCAACGGGAATACTATACATCACATCGTGATTGTGCTATCAACCAGTATTCTCTTGAAAAATTGAGTAGGATAACTATACCTAACGAAACTGTGCTATACGCTGCAGAGAGTAGGCCGCTCCTTTTCTTCACAGCTGATTCTATGACATTACGAACAATTGCTTGGGCACCTGGAGGCTGGTATTTTCTGCATTCTCATGTCAAAGAATAATGGCTGACCTTCTCCGTGTTTGAGTTTGGGAGAGTTCATTATACAACAGCATTGGGTGCATTTGTGTGATATGCTACCTTTTGCTTAGGAGAGGTAAGACTTATTGACAATGCAATTTCTGGAGTCTATGGCAGTGGTTCCGCTGGACAGCATTTGATAGCCACAGCTGGACACAGTGGCTGGATACGATTCTGGGATCTGAGGTCAGTAATTGACCTGTAACTTGAATGCCCCTTTGATTAAACTCTCATATTAAGTCTCCTTTTCAAATTCAACACGCTGACTTATTCCTCTAGGTTTAGCACGTGAGTTGCCCATGATGATGTTCAACATGTTCAACATATTGTTCATCACTGGTGCTGAAATTTTCTGTCTATACAATACATGAAGGGCGTTTAAGGTCTGATGGCCTGTAACCAGTACAACTTTCTGCATTGGAGTATGCATACATAGAAAAGTTTTAATACTCTTACAGACTGCTCTTACGCTGTTTCTGTGGGTACTTGAGCTTCAGTTACTGATCGCAAAACCTGCAACTTATGGTTTTCCTCTCTACCCTTCAAGTATGATGGTCATGGAGTTCATTTAGACAAGTCTAATAATATTGTCCTACTGGAAATGTGGAATCTAACATGAATTGGTGTCTGAAACTACAGAGACCCCTACCAACCTGTTTATGAGTTGCAAATATCGCGAGGTGTTGTCACGGGCATTGACTGGGTGTCGGACCCGAGGTGAATGTTTAAATGCTACAAAGTACTCCTGTTGCCTGTTGTGTTACACTTGTTTTGGATTAATATTCTGTTGTAATTAAGCTTCGGTTGACTTGGGTTTTGCTTTACTAGGTGTATGCTGATAACAATGGACGACGGTTCTGTGCGAGTCTTGTCTTTGGATAAAGCTGCCACAGACACTGCAGTTACAGGAAAACATTACACGGGCACGCCGACCCAGGGTCTTGCGAGTTACTATGCATCCTATTATGCAATGTGGGGTGTACATGTTTCTCGAGCGTCAGGCAAGTACTTTTACCTCGCCGTAAAGACCACGTGAATAGTGAAGGTTCTGTACTCGCCTCTCTTTGCGATCGAAATACTACAAGTTAACTGTCTTGTCCTTCTTTTACAGGTTTGGTGGCCTATTGTGGCACTGATGGCAACGTCCTTCAATTTCAGGTTCTTGAACTCCTTCCAGTGCCCCTCATTAAACAATGAAACCTCCCAAGTGTGACATTCTAAAGAGTAAAATCATTGTTCTGTATAGCCCATAAATCAAATATTTCTTACATGAGAATGCATTTGCAGCTTCGTTTTGTTGTTCTTTAACGTTGTAACTTATTCTAGTAGGTACTTTTTTTATTTGGTTATTGTATCTCTGGGACTTGTAGGTTACCTCATCCTACGCGTGCGGTTGTATTAACAGCTGACAGAGAAGGCACTTATCAAGGAGGGCTCCCGCTACAGGCAACCGCATTATCTCTGTGGAGCGTTTGCTGCAGATGCAGAGACGGGACCTGTGTATATAATCTCCCAGAACCCTTTATTCACACGTAGCTCGCAAAAAGCAGCTTTAGTCCAGCTTACTCCCCAGTTTAGGCGTGATTTTTTAACGCGACGGAACGCCGTGCTGAAGTCGCATGTAGCAGGTTCAGGGTTTATTCCTAGTGGCAATCCGCTTGACATGGAAAAACCGGGCAACAAGAAGAAGAAACCCGAGGACAAGCCCAGTGGCTCCAAACCCAAAAAGATAAAGAAATCCCTGGCTATTTTAGAGGAGACGAGCGCTCTTGGTGAGGATCCTCAAGAGGAGAGCGAGCCTTCGGCAGAATTTCAGAACCCCACGGGTGGTGTTCAAAACCTGCCTCTACGTGTTGTAGCTGTGCAGCGCTTGCGTTGGAATTGTAATAGAGGAAAGGAAAATTGGTTAGCTTTTGGAGGTGCTGCTGGTATCATTCGCTGCCAGCACGTTCTGCCGAAAGATTGACGTGTTTTCACGGTTATTTAACTTGCTTCTGGCCACGCTCTTCACCAAGGTTACTCCCTTTTGCTGTACTAATTGTGGGGTGTAACAGAAACTCTCAAGATCTTAGTGAGGAAAGGTAATCTTACAAGCGTTTCAGTGAAGATGTTTCTAACTACAAGTATCACTGGTTGAGAATTTCTTCACTAATGATCTGATGTGATGTTTCCTTAGCGGACCCAGATTTCACAAGCTCTGCTCGAATAATTTTAAGCGAGTGCTGCACAATATCACTCGTACAACAATTCGTTAATTTAATGAACCGACCACCAAACAATTATCCCTGTTCACACATGTAAGTTCAAAACTACTCCCTTCAGGTACATAGATTTACCTTACTCTAGTAGATTTTGTATGAAGACGTGTCACATATTAAGACAAGCTGGCATAAATTTAATTATAATGTACAATATATATGCTTTATTTTTAAAACTCTACAATATATTATATTTAGCCAAGAAATATTAGATTGAGGAATATTTAATGTGGGAAAATGCATAGAGGACAAAACCATTAATTTAAAAATACCAGTGAAACACTTTTAACATATTCAAGTTTGAATCAATTTATTGAAGTTTTTTTTTTTTTTTTTTTTTTTTTTTTAAAAAAAAAATAAAAAACATTACAGATTTTAGTGAATATAAAAGGTTGTAAAGATTGACTATTTTGTTTTGTAATTGATGCCATCTATAATTACTATTATTATATACAAGACAAAATACATGCATTAAATTTGTATGTAATCATGGTAAGATCTCTTTGAATAAGAAGTGTCAATAATTCAATTAAAAATATAAAAAATACATCTTTGCATTATAATATTTTGGCTATTATGATAAAAACGCCTTATGATCAATCATTAACACATTAATGTTTATTTAACTATTGACAAGACTTTTTAACTCTTTTATTATATAGGTTTTAAATATTGTAATTATATACAAATTAAAATATGTTATTTAATCAAATTAATAGTTTTAAACTAGATCTTTCCTACAGAGTGATCTTGACTAAGAAAAGTTCTATGTTTTGAAATCTTCTTCAACCTATATTTAGATGTACTTATAAAGTACCAACACAAATTTAATTTTTAAGAGATGATAGGAAATTGCTATTTGTTGATATTTTTAGTTTAAATAATTCATTTAAAAAAAAATAGATGATGAAAAGTAAAAAAAATATCAAACAAATTATAGTATACTGAAAATTTTATAAAACTATAAAATTATACATTTTTCTTATAATACTTATTGTCAAGAGAAGAAATTATGGAATTATAAATTGTCTTCAATTTTTATAATTATGTATAAAAATTGAAAGGATTTATAAATCTTATAATTGTATAGTAATAAATTATGTTAAGACATAAATATAATATTTTTTTGATAAAAAGACATGTTAAATACAAAAACAATGGATTTGTAATTGAGTACTTGCTTTTGGATGCCTTTGTAATAGAGCAAAATTGGTGGTAATATTTTCAATATCATATACATATATAATAATATAATAATAAGAATTAAATTTAAATATTCTAACAAACAATTATAACTAAAAGTAGTATGATAAATAATGAATATCAAGGAAGAATAAACCAAGGAGATAAATCAAAAGAGATAATTTTGATCTTTGATTGGATACATCTTTCATTGTTTTCATCAAAAGTGAATCAAAAGTAAAGCAAAAGTTGAATTATGTAGGAATTTAGAAGGTCTTAACAAAATCACGTTTACAAATTCATAAGGCCTTAATAACACATATAATTCACTTCTACTTCAAAAAATGATATCATATAAGCTTTTGATTTAATCATCTTTGTTTTCATCAAAACTTTTGATAAAAACAATGAAACAAAAGTTTTTATTGAAAACATGATTGAGTGATGCAACACCCATAAATATTATTATCAGGTCTATTGATATATTTTACATATAGAGTCCTTTGACTAAGAGGTAGATTACGGAAATCGTTGAAATGTTTTTGTTCTTTGGATTTTATATTTGGTCTCTAATTAGAGACCAATTGAGAAAAGATTGCATATAAATATGGAGCTTTATCAAAATATTTTGCAGCTATGTTGCACATTGAAAACTTGGAAAAAAAAAGATGAGGCTATTACTAGAAATAATAACATCCTCCATCTTTGTTTTCAACCAAATTCAAAGATTTGTTGGCATATTTTCTATTGTTGATTTAGAACCATTCTTCAATGATCCTTTGTAAAATTGTCTTGAATCAGATTTGAAGATTTGAAATAGTTGTTAGAACCAATTTTAAAGTTGCTTCTTTAGATTAGTTTGTTTGGCCAAAAATTGTATAATACCTTGTGTTGATTTTGCTTTATTTCATTTGTTTTGATTATTGTGTGTACTTACATTAAACTTTATTGACATTCACAGAATTAATGTGTTACACTCAACTGACTTCCTTCTATATTGCAATTATTAGCAAGCCCAAGTATATAGATGTTGATAGTCAATGAGTTGCTGAAGCCACAAGCAGTCATCAAGCAATGTATAGAACAACTTGAAAGATGTGAAATGAGCCATGTCTTGCTGTGCTCCAACTTGAAGGATGTTTTGTTTGAGCATGTAGTCTCAATTCTAAACAATATATTTTCTATGACAACGACACAAATTCAATTAGTGATTGAATAAGATTGCATGATGTAATAATATTGTATTACATCAATACGTATTTATTGTAGTTGTGCCAGAAATCTTTTGTTCCATTCTTCTTCTGATTATTAAAAACTAAAAGTTAAATTTCAAGATAATACATTTTTCAGCATAGTAAGATTTTAATCCACAACTTTGTTTTAAAATAAGATAATTTTTTTCATTAATAAATATATGCATGCATAAAAATCTAATTCATCAATACCAAAATTTCGAACTCAAGAGCTTCGAAGGACAACACAAGAGCTTCAAAGACCTTGTCTAAACAATGTCAAGAAAATCAACAGATGCATACACATTGGTTGCTTTTTCTTCAGTACTCTCAAGAACTGTAATGATCCACCATTCACACTTGGAAGTCATCAACTTTCACGGACCAAATTGTCAGCTCCTAACATCCAAACAGTTGGTTGGAGTGATGTGCATCGCCAATTGCAACATGTCAAGCAATTGTTGACTTTGCAATGCTTGAAGGATCTGAATGGGGCAAGTAAGAAACATCATCTCGCAGCATGTCTCTGCTTCGATGCTCTGATTTCGACATGAATTTGTTGCCTGATTTGTCTGGTTTTTATCTCAAATTTTGCAGGAATTTCAGACGGAATGTTGTGCATGCTTCCTGGTGAGAGAGTGACGTTGAGCATCGAACTTGCTTAGCCACAGCTGCTAGTATAATACACTCTGATTGATCGCCTTCATAATCTTATCTTTTGCAGGAATTGCAGTGAAGTCGTTGTAGTGGTTTTTGTTAACCAGGTCTATTTTTTGACCCAGGAAGTGTTGGAATTCATGGAGAGTAAAGACGCGGAATCCAAGAATCTAATAAGAAATGCGCTTTCGGATGTGAAAAAATTTGCTTCCGCAGTAAGCTGACGTCTAGATTGGTTCCGCGCGGAATGAGAGAGGTGATCATACATCGAAGCTTTGAGCCAAAGAATTCCATTCTCGAACTGCAACAAGATGGAAACTGGTGTGTAGATGCTCACGCGGTCACTGACGAACCCATCTCGATCAGGACTTTTCCAACGTAGGAAGCTGCTTTTGCCCTTTGGTGATGTCAATGGCACTACCTGCTTCAAAATGAAAGCCTCACATATCATCTACATAGACTTCTGACTAAGCTTACTAAAGAGTTTCAGTCTTAACCTCTCGATCTGGTGTGTCTAATCGATTACGACGCTTACATCGAGAGTACTCCACTTCAGTGGTTTGTAGTGAAGAAGATGGCATCCTTACGTGTCCTTGCAGATGTTCAATGAGGACCTAAGTCGCAAAATTTCATGCATGTTTAATGTTATTGAAAACAGGAAACCATGTTCAACCCTACACATGGCAGCTCGGTTCGCATGTGGGGTGATGGTGCGTTGTGCTGCTAGTGATGACGCTGACTTGCAAATGGGACACGTTACTCATTTTGCGTAATGTTGCCGAGTTTGCCAAACCCTAATCAATTTGGCCCATCTGCAGAATTTACGATTTTGGACTCAGTACAGGACCTGGCGTCTTTCGTCCAATCTGTACGAGAACCTGCGAGCTTGATCCACCGCTATGACTAACAGTGGAGGCGAGTGGATAGCCAGTTTGAGTCGCCTCTTTTCGAAGCCAATCCATGTCAATTGTTGTTTTAGGGTTACGTTTCCTCGTTGACATAAGACAGTTCTGCGACATTTGATAGTAACTTGGTGATTTCAATCACAAATAGATGCTTTCTACGGATTGAATGGAGGTACAAAATGATAGACACATTTCAATGCTATCAATTGATTAATTGTTACCTATCTTACAGTCCTTTAGGGTTATGTAACAGGTGACAACTGTGTCGAGTTTCAGGGTTTTTAGGTTTAGGGTTTCCACCGGCAGTAAATCGAGTCAGAACCAGCATCGCCTATTGTCGTCTTCAAAGCGCCTGCTCTGCTCTCATAGTGTGCATATAATGAGCATCTCTCGATTTGACTGCAATGTTCCGTGTTGCTTTAACGTTGGGTCAGGTGTTGTAGTTGTATCTCCTTCGTTCAAATGTCTTTGCTGCATCAATGAGATGTGACCGCCGTCAAGGGTAGTTCAATGTGGTCCTTTCCGGTCACCAAGATTTTCGTCTAATCCCAGCCCTATCTATGTCACCGCGTTCCTTGTCTAGGCTGAGGTATCTTCCGCTTCTGTTGCTGGTTCCGTCTTTGTTTTTGAGGTGGTCATGTGTTCACCTTGAGGGGTGTATACAGTTCAAGGTCATCATTTAAAGCAAATCGTTATGGCTCGATTGTGTCGATGAATTGATTTGCGTCGGAAGATGACGATAGTGACGGGTCTTGTCTGCATTCGACTCTTATGCGTTTGTATTGAGTTTCAGCAGACTTACCCTACATATTTTCTGTGTCCTTACTCCTGCTCTTTACTTAGTTTGCCACACGTCTTTGCTACATACTTACATCCGGTCTGGGTTATCGAAGGTTGTGTCATTGCCTGCGCATGTGTTGACGTTTTGTATGTGAAATAAGCCTGTTTCATCCTTCTCCGCGAACATCGAAAGAGATTTCTGGATTCATTATAGTGTGAAACACTAATCGCAACCCTCAACCCCAAGTAATATATTCTTCGAAACTGGCTCTGAACAAGTACTAACAGTTCATGCGTTGTACTTAATCCGAACTTTCCCCTCGTAAGGTGTGAAATGACAGGCACAGCGGGGATCACAATCCTGCCTTTTTATTCACATTGTAATAATTCTAAACCGGTATTCCAAGTACCTCCCATGTGGATGATGGGAGATAAGAAATGAGGAAAATACTTGCCAGTGGCATCAACTTGCTAATAAATGAGAACGGCGTAAACTAGAAATGACCTCTCGGAACCACCATTTCCTTCTCTGTTGAGCTTCATCAAAGACATGAGAAAACAGTCTCATCGTGCACCCACAAAACTAAAATGGATTCGTCCTTTGATAAACACTTCTATGACATCGTCCACAAGTTAGCTATTGCGCTCAGTCGGAGATAAACTATGGTCATGTCAACTTCCCAATGGATCAAGCCACACCTATATTCGTAGATAGTGTGTATTACTCTTCTCGGATATCGGCGTAGAGAATGATATGCAAAACGCAACCACGGAAATATCAAACAACTGGGTTAAAACGGAACAAAAGAACTGAGTGATGCGACGCAGCGGTTGTTCATTTCCACACTTCGCGAATAGTGTATCAAACACTAATTACGGATACCAGTTTAGATAAATGCTAGGTCTACATTAGGGTTGTTCTTGTGCATGGTTGATTAATCGAGATGGATACAAAAAATTTACATCCTGCTTGAGTCAAATTGTTGTTATAAGAGGTATGACTGTATTTTGACTAAGTAATGGTGACAAGTCATGATGAAAGTAACATTATAAACCAGCAATAAAAAAATTCAGAAATGAAATCTATATTAGATTATAATTTAGTGTTGGATGAAGTGGGGTCTTCAAGAAGGCAAAGAAAAGATCAAGTCATTTCTAATTAACATATTAAAATCACCAAAAGTTTGTGCATGCCTACTACTAAGACATTGTTCAAGTAATGAGTTGAATGATTAGTAATACAGATGCTATGCTTCTAATGTTTTAACTGTCAGTGTAGACTTGCTTGCAATAAGTGAACTCATTTTTATGAAACTGTTTAGATATAAAAATAGATTGGAATCACATCTTATCTAAATATTTTACATACAATCCACTTTAAAGATGCACTTTAAAGTGGATTTTTTATGAATGTTTAAAAGAAATGACAACTATTCAATACTAGCAAATTTAATGATGATTGCGCTAAAAGTGATGAAATAGAATTCTCTCTTTTTTTTGAAAGAATATTGAAAGGATGTATTGAATAAGATAGTTTTGTTAATGACATTAACAAGATGGTTTTATAAACAACATCCTTGTGAATACATCATTTCAATATGGTTTTTACATCCTTTAGTATCTATTATATATTTTTATCAATAAATATCACATTCATGTTTTGATATTTAAGAAGATATAATTCAATAATATAATCAAGTATAACATTTACAATCCTTTCAATCTTTGTACATAATCATAAAAATTGAAGGCAAATGTTAGTTCCATAATTTCTTCTTCTAGCAATAAGTATTACAATAAAAATGTATAATTTTATAGTTTTATAAAATTTTAAATATACTACAATTCTTTTGTTACTTTTTTATCATCTAAAATTTTATAAATGGATTATTTAAGCTAACAACATCAACTTATGGCACTTTGCAATCACTCTTTAAAAATTAAATTTGTATTGGTTCTTTAAATATAGGTTAAAGAAGATTTCAAAACATAGAACTTTTCTAAGTCAAGATCACTTTGTAGAAAGATCTAATTTAAAACTGTTAATTTGAGTAAATGATATATTTTAATTTTTATATGATTATAACATTTAAAACTTACATAACAAAAGAGTTAAAAAGTCTTATCAAAAGTTAAGCAAATGTTAACTTCCAAAAAAGTTGATTTATGTCAATGCTTTATTATAAGGCATTTTTGTCATAATATCCAAAGAATTACAATCCAAACAGAATAACTACTTATCCAATTTAGAATTTCAAAGTAAAGATCATATTTTATTTGAGATAAATAGTTTTTACAATATATTAGTAAATGAATGGATTTTTATTCATATTGCAATTAGAACAATATATTAGATAATTTTAATTCCTATAACTCAATTTAAAACAAATAGTTTCTTTCTATATTTATTTTTCTTATAAATTATACTATAAGTAATAATTGTATCTTCTTCTATTATGTATAATTGATTCTTTAATTGAGGCAAGGTATCACTAATTGTATATATATACTATGCCAAAAAACCTTGAAATTAAGTTTTGTAGGCTTTTATAAGCACTAATATTTTTTTGAAAAGCTCAATGTTCTTATTTATGTGGATTTTATCATAGTTATTTTTTTCTTTTTCTCCAACAATATAGTAGTTGGAGCAATAAAAAATCTAAAAGGATCATTTAGAAGAAAAACATATATATCAAAAAATTTAATTGGCATATTTAAAAATGAGTAATATGCTAAGTTAGAAATATTGTATGATTTTTGCATTGCAATATAAAAGATAATCAGTCTTGTAAAAACTTAGGTAATCAAAGATTGGAGTATTAACTACCTTCATTTAACAAACACATGGTTTCTAATTTATGATTATTAATATTTAAAATTATACATCTAATTATATGTATAATTATGATATTAATATATATATATATATATATATATATATATATATTGAACAATACTTTGCCAAATTATTATCTCTTAACTAATATTCCTTACTTAGCCAATAGTATTTGCTGGAATAGAGGTTATTTCTAGGTTGTAAACTAATAATCTTGGTTTTTGCATAACTATATTTTTAAACGCTATAATTTCATAAATTAAATAAGAAATAAAATTCCAATTTTTTACATTTGGATTGTGATTTAGAATATTACAAGCCTTGTTTATGGATTGAGTTGTACAAACAAACATACAAACAAACAAACAAAAAGAATAAAAAAAAATATGAAATAGTTAATTACAATAAATTCAAAGGAGCTACAAAGAAATTGCTGATTTGCACCATGTCAACTAGGTGAATTCCACTTGATCATTGCAATTCAAAATAGTTACATTCTTTAACTTTTTATACAAGACTTAGCACATCACAATTAACATATGTAGGAGAAACAAAAATACTACTTTTTAGAGTAATATTGCACCAAATCATTTGCTATTAGTGCATTAGTGTTTCTAAAGTGAATTGTTGCAACTTAAAAAATTCCTTGCAACTCCTTTACAAAGGAGTGTAGAGTAGTAAAATTTTATACAAAAATTAGTAATAATTATAATTATTAATTATAAAAAAGAAAAAATCTTAAATGATTTACTTCTACCTAATTACAAAACTAATATTATTTCAAATCTTCACATTAAAGTGTCCAACCTAAAACTCTACCTTACCATTTACATCCACCTTATGTAGTTCTAAAATTATTTTGATATAGGTTAGATCCAATTGTACAACTTTTGAAAGTAAAAATTCTCTAAAATGAACATGAAGAATAGAATAATCTTTAATGAATATTCATAAGAGAATATTTACTATCTTCAAAAAAGAAATAAAATATAAGTAATGATTATAAAAAAAGAAAAAAGAAAAAAAACTTACATGATATTGGTCAAAAGATGCTATATTTAACTTCTTGCAGTTGCAAGAAAAGTTCTAAGACAAAAGTTGTACCTTGCAAAGCTCAATTCTTAGAGTTGTACGATGGAAGCTTGAAATATCAAATCAACAACCACAATATACTTTTATAATATTGTAGCTAGCCTAAAGCTCAAAAATGACAATACATGGAAAACTAACCAAATTTTGTTGAAAGCCAAAAAATTTGCAAAATTTCTTTATTGTGATGCAACCAATGAAAGGGCTGGAAGAAAAAGACAATTTTGTGAGAAGAAGTCAACAAAAAATTGTAAAATTACATCATCTCCTATAAATGATAAAATCTTGTATAAAATATAAAACTTCCATCCACCAAGATTATTAAGTAAACAAGGTACTATTGTATGTATGTATGTATGTAGATATCATGTCCTATTCTAATTAAAGATTGTATTGTTATTTATGCATAAATTTGACAATATACTTTATCAAAAAACACAATTTTATATGGCTTTTAGAAAATTATTTTCTACAATATTATAAGTTGTATTCTCTAGTAATATTACATATGTTAAGCTTACATTTTTTGCAGCATTTACAAAATATTTTTTTATTTTATAATTTTATTTATTCTCTTTTTTCACACATAATAAAAAAATATATTTAAATAATTTTATCTATTTAAGAATACTTGATTTTGCAATAATCTACTTAAAACTTCTAAAATATCATGACAATACTTTAAGATCTAAAAGAAGATGAAAGAATAATTGATGAAAATAAAGGTTTTTACTTCTGAAAAATTCATTTCATGAAACCACAATAAAAAAAATTATTTTGAAGAAAATAAATAAATCTACTTATTCAAATAATCATAATATTTAAAATAATATATATGAAT